TAGTGACCAATGGTCAAACTAGTAACTAATGGTGAAACAAGTAAAGAGTCCAATAAATAATCAGCATTATAATACTCTATATCTCTGTACAATAATAGTGTAATATACATAGATATTTCTCCTTACCAGGCTAGGCCTGTCACAGAGCCATCCACCCAAAACACTGATAACAGGTAGACCTGCTGAACACATCGTTAAGGAATCAACATACTTTTCTAGCAGCTGTCAATTTTTTCTTTTCTTTGTTTGATTTAATTTTCAGTGAAAAGCTAGTTACTTAGTAGAAGTCCTATAATAGGACTAATCTATTTAAAAAAAATCAATCATATACTTATATATTATGAATACACACTTTCCAGCTGTTAATGTTGATCAATCCATTAATCAATGTTAAAAGTTTCACACCTTCTTGAATGGGAGGAAGTATAATCATGGCAACGAAAAACTGCTCAAATCAAGCATGTTATCTGCTAGTTTAAAAATGCTTAGGAATTTGGGTTTGAGCTAACATCACTCTAATATTTCTATTCTGAAATCTTTTGACACCAATATCCCTTGGACCACACAACAGTAGATATGAAGCTATGATGACTTAACAGTCACCTGTCTTTTCCTATAGGTAACAAATTAACAGGTATGCATATATCAACCTGAGATCACACAGGACAACAGTATCACAGAATTCTACCATATTTATATTCAGCCAATCAAAACCCATGCTTGGTACCTTACCAGAAAACCAGCCAATGAAAACCCATGTTAAATCCTAACTAGAAAGCCAGCCAATAAAATCCTTTGTGAAATACCTTACCAGAAAACCAGCCAATGAAAACCCATGTTAAATCCTAACCAGAAAGCCTGCCAATCAAATCCAACAATTTCATTATACCCGACCAAAACCGCCTGGAAATGAAAATGAATTTTGCCATACAATAGATATATTTCATCAAATAAAATCTATAATTACTATATAGATGAAACACCTGCCAGCCAAATCAAATTACTAGTAAGTTGAATCATCGTTAGCCAATCAAACCATTTATTAGTTTTGAATAAAAAATATAAGCCAATGTTCAAACACTGATATATTCAATCATCATAATGACGAAATATGTAATTTGCTAAAGAAAAACTGTGTACTATTTCCAGAATTTAGCATAAATTTCCAGTTAGTCAATACTAGGTAGAAAATGGTTCAATCTAAGCAAGTTTAAAAGTCAGTTATCTAGACTAGAAATATGTCATCATGGACCTATCTAATCCAACTACATACAATCCAGTAAAACAAAGAAAAAAAAGGATCTATTAACATCACAGGATTACTCTTTGATGAAAATTTATCACAAAATTATCAATTTTCAAAAATAAGACGCTGGGTAATGACAGGCTCAACTAAAATATAACATATTAACCCATAGTAGTAACTGTGATACTATCATCAATTTGGGTCAAATATTCAAGTTATGCAAAAATAATTTTTTTAAGGGTATTATATATATTTGTTTACTTAAACTACAACACACATTTTGCAAATAACAAAAGGCTTCCTCTTACTCATATACAACATATCCTCGCACACACACATAAACCCACCCACCCTCACCCACACACACACATACACCCACACACATAAAATCTGAGAATCCTTGACTGAAGTTAATCCAGACCATAAATTTAAAAAGGAAATGAAAGAAAAAGAGAAAAAGCAAGTGTTAATATAGGCGACTTTCTAATTGTGTAGCATGATATTCAAATATAATGAGTATTAATAAAAGAAATGAGTCTGACCTAATACTAGAACCACACAAAAAGAATATAATTACCAAGCAAATTATTATACTTACACATTTCATGGTAAACATCAATCAGATCACATGCCAGGTTGAACACAGATTGGATTTAGAGATTCCAAAATTCTGATATTGCAAAACATTCATTACATATACGATGTCATACATTAACACAATCTTTGAAGAATTGTATACAACTGTTTCTGTGGATGTTTCATAGGACATTAATAGCTATGCTTCCAGCCACTTAACAAATGCTGTTGACCATTTCTCGACTGACCCCCTCCTCCACCCCCCCCAAAAAAGTTAAAAAAAAAAAAAAAAAAAAAAATTGGGGGCGGAGGATGTAATCTATCCAACTGGATATCAGTATTTTCTGTTGGCACTTAAGCATCCTGAAATTGTTTTGATTTTAACACTTAACTTTTAAATATTTAAAAATCAAATCCAGATACATATCATGTATCTCAAAGAAGTCTCACTTTCAGATGAATGATGTTTTGTCTTATTCAAGACTATTAATGATGTCAGGAGTATCATGGTTTACATTGGTACAAAGTTAACTTGAAGCTAATCCATACAATGACATGTATCTGATATAGGCCTTATTCATTTGAAATTAAATTACCAGAGAAAAGGTAATGCAACACCATTCTTTTTTTTACATCATTTACATGTATTTCTCCACATCAAGCTGAAAATATTTCAGATTATCTAAAAAGTTCTATTCTACTTAAAATCTGAAAATAAAAATTGTCATAAAAATAATATTAAGAAGAAAAAAAGAAAGAAAAATCACGAGAAGAAAAAAATCCTGAATGAACAGAATGTTGAAAATGAGATTTTTTCTAAGGTTAAGGGGACACATAAAATACTGCATTTTATCAAACCATAACTAATAAAGAAACAGTTCCAACATTCTGTTTTGATTTCTTTGTTGGAATTCTGTAGTCTGTAAAAAGTCACAATACTTTACAGCAGTTAAAAGTGTGTATCATTAGTGTTAAACAATTTAAGGAAATTTGACTGTAAGTTTTCTCTATGATCAGAGTATGTATATGTTAAGGACTAAAGGATGCAGTAAATGCTAATTAAATCTATGTTGAAGCATAACCATTTCTGAAAATAATTTCAAATGTTCATAAGATTGAGTGTAAATATCTACATCAAATATGATCTTTTTAATGATTTTCATAATTAGATATTTCATTTGAATAATGTCCTAAAATTACAATTACATAACAGTCATTCCCCTGGTTCTCAATAAAGGAACCATACAACAAGATAGATCAAATACACTTCCCTTGGTTTTACTCTTTTTTTTTTTTTTTTAATAAAAGCTATGAAACTGAAATTATTTTCACAATTAAGCAAATGAAATTGAAAATGCAAATTGCAAGACATAACAATAATATCTAGTGATGTTTCAACCTGTTATGCTAGAACACACACACACATCAGGGAAATGAAGTCTGCGTTTAGCTGATATGCCAGGGTTTGAACACATGTGTCTGATAACTGAAGTCTGGGTTTAGCTGATAGGTCAGGGTTTGAACACACGTGCCTGATAACTGAAGTCTGGGTTTAGCTGATAGGTCAGGGTTTGAACACACGTGCCTGATAACTGAAGTCTGGGTTTATCTGATATGCCAGGGTTTGAACACACATGCCTGATTATTGAAGTCTGTCTAGCTGAGTCTCAGGACCTCTACATATATGATGTGCACAGAAACTGCCAAACTCACCTTTGATGATGCTATGCTGACAATACATATATTTTCTGTGCAGTGAAGTGATTAGCTGATAAAAAGCTGAATCTGTCAAAGCATTTTAAACTTTCACTTTCACTTTACCATTGGTAAACAAAAATTCACAAAGAATGTCAAGTGATCATTTTTTCCATATAGCCTAAGACACACATTACAACGACCTCACACCAGCAACATGCATAGTTTTGGATTTGGGAACTAAACACATTATCTGTCACGGTTAATATCTATGGAGATATACCTGGCCTAGATGTCACATGATACAACTAATTGTACTTTGTTTACCACTTAACCTATTCCGTAATAAAGCAAAAGAATACTAGTTATCTGAAAACTCCTGTGAATCACATTTCCACAGTAGAACCTATTACCTAACACCCTTTCTGCAGCATATGAAGCCAACACTGGAGCCTCAATTGGAAGCTCTAAGAAACAGCAATTATCCAGAGGATCTATTGGAAGCTCTCAGACTCAGCAATGACCTGGAAGCTCCATTGGAAGCTCTTAGACTCTGCAATGACCTGGAAGCTCCATTGGAAGCTCTCAGACACAGCAATTATCCAGAGGATCCATTGGAAGCTCTCAGACACAGCAATTACCCAGAGGATCTATTGGAAGCTCTCAGACACAGCAATGACCTGGAAGCTCCATTGGAAGCTCTCAGACTCAGCAATGACCTGGAAGCTCCATTGGAAGCTCTCAGACACAGCAATTATCCAGAGGATCCATTGGAAGCTCTCAGACACAGCGATTATCCAGAGGATCCATTAGAAGATCTCAGACACAGCAATTATCCAGAGGATCCATTAGAAGATCTCAGACACAGCAATTATCCAGACACAGCAATGACCTGGAAGCTCTCAGACTCAGCCATCAGCTGGAAGCTCCATTGGAAGCTCTCAGACTCAGCAATTATCCAGAGGATCAATTGGAAGATCTCAGACACAGCAATTATCCAGAGGATCCATTAGAAGATCTCAAACACAGCAATTATCCAGAGGATCCATTAGAAGATCTCAGACACAGCAATTATCCAGACACTCCACTGGAAGCTCTCAGACTCAGCCATCAGCTGGAAGCCCCATTGGAAGCTCTCAGACATAGCAATCATCTACAAAGGTCTCTCCTCTATGCCAATGGACAACAAAAACACAAGCCTTCATGAGAGGCTGAGAGACACACAGCAAACAACCACAACATTCTTCACAAGAGGCCAACAGACACACCCATCACATTCTCCTCTAGAGGCCTGCAGACACACCAATTACATTCTCCTCTTGAGGCCTACAGACACACCCATTACATTCTCCTCTAGAGGCCCACAGACACACCCATTACATTCTCCTCTAGAGGCCCACAGACAAAAGGCTGACACAAACTTCCACTGAAGGCCTTTGGACACACGACCAACAGCCGAGACAGTTGTTGATAAAGGCCAGCATGAGTTTATAATCATTTATTAACATTTTCTGAATCTGTTTAAAAGTTATTCTGTCTTTTTTTCTTGGCATCAATTGCTTCAAGAATTGGTTGACGCTTTGCTTGATATCTTGCACGCAACTCATCAATTTCACGTTCCATTTCAGGATCTAGATCAGACAACCTTTTCTCTAAATCTTCATAAGCTAGGTTTCGTAACTGAAAACAGAATGAAATTAACCATAACTTAGTTACCAAACTAGCATCATTATCATTCCTTGAATTCGTAAATCATACAATATATAAAATTCACAGATTCATGTGAAGTCAGTTCTAAAAAAATTCTGACAGTTTGTTAAAACTTATTTGTTAAGTCATTGTATTTATTTTCCTTAAAGCCTATGTAACCAACACATTATTTCTGCCTCAAAGTCAATGAATAGTTTTTTACAGGTTAATGGAGAAATGTTGACTATTGATTCTACTAATAAGTGAGCAGACTTATTACCAGGCATAAACTAATTGTAAAAAAAAATAGTTATCTGATCCCCACTATTAAATGTATGCTTTAGCAAAATATTTGTTCAAAAGAATTTTACTAAATTTCTGAATGTCTTTCATCACATGAGCAGAATTGACCAATTCCCTGTAAATATATCAGTTGTAAGATTTGAGTTTTGTCACAGTAATTATACACCCACAGCATAACTTACAAATTCAAAATCTCCATCAATGAAAGAGCGTTGGAAGTAGTGAGGCGGAGTGACCTGTTTGGGCTGTGAGATAGGTGACTGGACAGGAGGTGGAGCTTGAGTTGATGGACGAGTAGCCGCAGGCACCTTGTCCTGTTCCTTCTTCTCAAAGTGGTCAAGAAATGCGGGTCGATATTTGTCTTTTCCTCCTTGGTCAGTGTCATGTCCTGTAAATACAAGCGTACAACCAACATTAAATGATCTTATGTAAAACACTCATAACTCAGAGTGGGACAAAATTGACAGTATTTCAAACTCAGAGTGGGACAAAATTGACAGTATTACAAACTCGGAGTGGGACAAAATTGACAGTATTACAAACACAGAGAAGGACAAACCTAGAGTATGACACTGTAACAAACTTGAAATATGACAAACTTGGAGTGAGACAAACTAAGATTATGACAAATTGCTTTTGTAATATTTTACCTACAATGTATATGGGACAATAAAATACTGACAATAGATCAACAACACAAACCACATTTTTTTACAGAACATAACTTTTTTTACTTCATGATCTGGTTTAGACCTATTACATCATACGTTTTACTTGTAACAAACCTTGAGTCTTTGTATTTTTTCTACATATTTTGACAGCTGTTTTAACCAGTGAAATACAGTTAGTAACAGGCAATCAGATTTAATGAAACCTGCCACATGCATTTAGTAGCAAACAAATGTAAAGATGAGATAAGTACTGCCATGTGCAGCTATTTAGCAAACTGCTGAAGGTATGGAGACAAATGTTCACAGACAATTTCTAATTGAGTATGATAAATCAGGGCTCAAGAACAGTAATTTGATGACTTTTGTTGTGACAGAGAAAGTTGTGACAGATTAAAATTGACATTCAACAGGAAGAGATGCGAAGACAGCATTGGGTTGCATTGATGTAACTCCATCCCATAATCTATTTTTCAAATGATCCAGATTGACCTTTGAACTTCTTTGATCTTGGTCAATAACTACCAAAATCTAAATATTATTAATGTGAAGAACTTGATGTTGTGACACTACAGTATGAATATGAACTAACTTTTCTTAGGAGAGTGGAGAGTTGGATTTTTGAGATATCTTGTACACAAGCTGTGTTCTACGAAGACACACTGGTGCTCACCTACAAAGTGTTTGTTTATCCCTTTAAGGTATGTAAAAATAAAAAGATTAGATACTGATGATTTCAGTCACAAGGAGGAGAAAGAAAACCTCAGATGGGTTGAGAAAGTAACTTATCATAAAATCATTGAAGAGAGTTAAAGGGAACTAACAAGACAGTAGTGGTCAATATATGATAGACACATAGAATAGCAGAGAAAATGAAGATACAACATTAACCTTGGTCACATTTTCTGACAAGTGAGCTAGCATAGCCACTATCCACCCCTGTAAATATACCAAATACAATGTTAAGGAGAATTCAAAAGTGAGAATTATCAATTTCATAAATAATTTTATCACATTACCAACCCGTTTTCCCATGTCATAATAATGGTAATACACATGTGTAATAAAGGTTTGGGGTCTGCTTATTGGTCAAAACCGTGGGAACGTATTCATACGCCCGCGCACGTACTAGTTTTATTTACTACGACAACAAACTGTAGTAAAATAAGGCTGACCAGATCAACATTGGCGACACAGTTTTTATTGATAAGAAGGGGACTGGTGTGGTGAAGGAGATAATCCCACGGGGGTTTGCTGTATTTTATAATGTTGAATTGTGTGGGATTGACTTTCAAATTGAGCTTGAGCGCGATCGTATTGAAAAGGTGGTAGATCCCTCCCAACAGCAGATGACTGCTCCGGATGCCGGTCCTGTTGCCCCTGGACCAAGTCGTTTCCTTTCAGTCAGAGAAGATGAGGTGGGAAGTTTATATAGGATCAATCAAACAAGAATACGTTGAGCAAAACTTTTGATTCACAAAAACAACCTCAGCGAATCTGAAAAGCTATCATTGAAAGTGACAGTGATTCGTAGTAACTGAAGCAGTTAGGCCAAACCTGATTACCCGTGATGACGAGGCGAGTGACGTCACGTTACCAATATCAATTGAATTTCCAGAAGATTTTTTTTTTTGTAATTTTTAAAAGTTATTTTGGCATTAAATAGAATTTAAATGCTTTACTTTGTCGATATTATTTTGGAACATAACAATCTCTTATTCAATCATTGAAAAAAGGTACTATTTGCAACACGGATGGATAAAACTATGATTGCTGTGCATTGGTTTTGACCTCTATAGAAACAGCTGATTGCATAGTGGAAGTAAATCGTAGTTTTCTGGCGATTTTTCCATTTTAATTGGTTATGAGATAAATAGAATCTTACACTCGTGTCAATGTAGTATGGAATTTATTAAACTCGTTCAATAAATTCCATAATACATTGACACGAGTGTAAGGTCCTCTACGTATGGCAATGCTACAGTATAACCTTATCAAAGCCAGTCAAGTATCAACAGCTCATGAACTGCCAACTGTTTACTAATATCTTCAATAATGTAAGTATATTACGACTGTCGCCCCTTCTCGTGAAAATATTGTGTCACCTTCATGTAAGCTATTCACCAGCAAGAGATATGCCAGGTTAAGATCATAAATGAGACTGAACTGCAGAATATTTGTCATGTGGAATGGCGGGAAAGGTTTTCAGAACTTCTCCATAAAGCAGTGTAGGTGCTCATATTTCCGGAAATGTTAACTTTTTAAGTATAGGTCATGCCAAAGCAGCAGTGAACTGCATTAAGTTGGCATCCCTAAGCATTATGAGAGCCACCTGGATACTGGCAAAGCCAACATGAAGTGCTAACACCAGGCACTTCTTGTGACTAGAGACAATTCCTGTATGATCTTTATGTAACTAAAACAGTGACTTGGGACACTAAGTGTTTCGTGTGACTAGAGACAATTCCTGTATGATCTTTATGTAACTAAAACAGTGACTTGGGACACAAAGTGTTTCTTGTGACTAGAGACAATTCCTGTATAATCTTTATGTAACTAAAACAGTGACTTGGGACACTAAGTGTTTCGTGTGACTAGAGACAATTCCTGTATGATCTTTATGTAACTAAAACAGTGACTTGGGACACTAAGTGTTTCGTGTGACTAGAGACAATTCCTGTATGATCTTTATGTAACTGTATGATCTTTATGTAACTAAAACAGTGACTTGTTACACAAAGTGTTTCTTGTGACTAGTGACAATTCCTGTATGATCTTTATGTAACTAAAACAGTGACTTGTTACACAAAGTGTTTCGTGTGACTAGAGACAATTCCTGTATGATCTTTATGTAACTAAAACAGTGACTTGTTACACAAAGTGTTTCGTGTGACTAGAGACAATTCCTGTATGATCTTTATGTAACTAAAACAGTGACTTGGGACACTAAGTGTTTCGTGTGACTAGAGACAATTCCTGTATGATCTTTATGTAACTAAAACAGTGACTTGGGACACTAAGTGTTTCGTGTGACAATTCCTGTATGATCTTTATGTAACTAAAACAATTCCTGTATGATCTTTATGTAACTAAAACATGATCTTTATGTAACTAAAACAGTGACTTGGGACACTAAGTGTTTTGTGTGACTAGAGACAATTCCTGTATGATCTTTATGTAACTAAAACAGTGACTTGGGACACTAAGTGTTTCGTGTGACTAGAGACAATTCCTGTATGATCTTTATGTAACTAAAACAGTGACTTGGGACACTACGTGCTTCGTGTGACTAGAGACAATTCCTGTATGATCTCATTTACTGAAAGGTGATGAGATATCAAGGTTATGATGTATATATATATCATAATAATATATTAACATATATCAGCTGAGTGTTGGATTGTGATAGACATACTTTTCATTGTTGAGTCATCGTCTGATGTGTCTTCGTTGATGACCATGGTTCCCAGTTCAGACTCCACCATAGTTCCGGCCTCACTGTTCACAATCACTGTCCCACTGTTGCTAGGCACCAGTGTTCCTACAAGTGAAGTAGGTATATAATCTTAGGTTGGTAAGTAATTACTATTTTTGTATATCATTAACAGCCAGAAAATATTTGTCTGATGTTCCGATGACTACTCTATCTACCTCACCACATGTGCGACATCTTGTACCAGATTTTCCATCCCAGTGTATACAGGATTAGATCTGGACCAAGTGAATTTAAAATAAATAAAAAAAATCAAACAAATTTGGACTTAATAGTAATTCTTACATTGGTAAATCAATATAATAATAATTTATTTTCTTCCTTGTTCATGATAAAGTGTCCTTAATCTACTGATCTGAGACTGAAACAGGACCACTAATTTACAGACCTGATTCTGAAACAGAAACATTTATCATCATACTAACCTACAGATTCTGACTTCATTGTATCATCTCGTTTATGTAACATGGTACCCGAATCAACATCATCTTCTTCTCCCTGAAAAGATTTTAAAAATTAAGAAAACGAACAAAATAGAAGCATCATTGTATCATTGATGAATATCTAAAAGCATTTTTTGCCTTGGGTTATAATACTCTTTGAACATTTAAAAAAAAAGTTATTTTTTCATGTCATCTGCAAAGACCACTGTGATTAAAATTTCTTCAAACTTACTGAATCGTCTCCGTTTGTGGTAACTGATGTTTGGGCGGTGAGAATCTCTTTGGCTTCTTTAATCATATCTTGCAGTATAGTACAAGGCTGGGCATTCTTAATAAATTCATGCTGTAAAGAAAAATGATCCTATAAAATATGTTTCCAGTATCAATGTGTTAGCTTCATCATCTTGCTATTAACAGAGCCAGAATGATGTTAACACTGGGAATTTAACAAATTCATGATGTTTTATAACACAGAAAGAAAATCTTAATTCTATATTCCTTGTTTTTTAAGATGATAATGAAGAATCTCAAGATTTTGTTTCATTTCCATCAGATATTAATGACATTTGCACTATAAACATGTTCATTAGTCAAGTGTAATCAGTCCTGTTGGCCAGAACAGAACTGCTGCGGAGTTATTTACAATGTGAGTACTCACATGGTCAGGCAAGTGACCTTTAACCTTTTCATGTTAGATGGGGTAACTGAACCCCTAAATTCTAAGTGAAATGCCAGTGTATTAACACTGCACCACTCTGAAGTTTATTTCAGAAAAATACTCAGTACAAATAGAGTTTAATATTGAAAATATAATTGTTCATCCTTGTTAAAGGAAATCTGTTAGATATCTGGTTCTGTAAAAATTTCAACATTTTCCTTCCAGGAAATGATGATCCTTGAAGATTGCCTGATAAATCCAAACAAATTGTGTGTTAATCTCGTATAAAGCTGTACAACATATCCAAACATACATTCATAAGTTGTGGTGCTGTGGCTCGCTGTTCAGGATTTTTGATGAGACATTTGGAGACAAAGTCTATAAACTCAGAGGACCATTTATCAGGATTCCTGAAGGAGGGTGGGGGTTTCGTCGGTATCATAAATATTGCCTGTAAAAAGACCAAAAAAAATCCACCTTGTTTACAAAGTGATTAGCACTGAACAAACAGTTACCTACCTACAGTAACAGAGAAAACAGGTAGACATTTTATAAACAAGTTAACTGTTTGGTATTAAAGACATGTTATATGTTATATATCTCAACAATATCATACTGTAAATGTACATATTCCAGAAATCAGCCTGTTTTAGCAATGAAGTAATCTTACACTTGGGCAGTATCATAACAGTAATCCTATATTAGCAGTAATGCTATATTAGCAGTAATTCTATCTTAGCAGTAATTCTATACTAGCAGTAATCCTATATTAGCAGTAATTCTATCTTAGCAGTAATCCCATATTAGCAGTAATTCTATCTTAGCAGTAATCCCATATTAGCAGTAATTCCATTCTAGCAGTAATCCTATTTTAGCAGTAATCCTATTTTAGCGGTAATCTTATTTTAGCAGTAATCCTATTTTAGCAGTAATCCTATTTTGGCGGTAATCTTATTTTAGCAGTAATCATATTTTAGCGGTAATCTTATTTTAGCAGTAATTCTATCTTAGCAGTAATCCTATTTTAGCGGTAATCCTATTTTAGCAGTAATCCTATCTTAGCAGTAATCCTATTTTAGCGGTAATCTAATTTTAGCAGTAATCTAATTTTAGCAGTAATCATCTTTTAGCAGTAATTTTATTTTAGCAGTAATCCTATTTTAGCAGTAATCTTATTTTAGCAGTAATCTAATTTTAGCAATTATCCTATTTAAGCAGTAATTCTATTTCAGCAGTAATCTTAATTAAGCAGTAATTCTATTTTAGCACTTTTTGAACTAAAATTGTTGCACTAATTGTTGCAAAAGTCTATTCTTTAAACAAAGCATTAACTACTTGTAAGCAAATAAAATGATAATGCACTTAGAATTTGTTTATATTTTACAGATACTGTCAGTATCTGTGTCACAAGTAAAAAGTAGTACAACATCAAAGTGATTCAGATCTACTCATTATCGTAAAGGTGTTCTATTCTGAAAAGCAACACCAAGCACTTTATAAAAACCTTCCAGTTCTGGGTTTAGGTAATGCTTATAGCATGTCAAATTTTATCCTGTAATTCATAATGGTATGTCTAAATTTACCAACTTACAATAAATACAAACATTTGATCAAATCTATTGTAATGTACAAAAGTATCACAGTATCTTTATCCATGATTCATGCAGTGATACAGTCTGATATTGAAAACATATCTATATGTAAAAGAACTGAAATCAGAAATATTTTATTTCATATTTTTAATAATTGTGAACAGGAATGAATGGCATTCAACAATACATTTCCTAGAGACCTAACAAAATATGGAGTGAACAATGGGAAATAACTCTGGGTGACAAAACACATCACTAGGCTCAACACCTACAGGTCTGCCTGTCTGTCTGTCTCTGTGACAGTAACACATTACCAGTCTACAACACCTACAGGTCTGTTTGTCTGTCTCTGTGACAGTAACATATTACCAGTCTACAACACCTACAGGTCTGTTTGTCTGTCTCTGTGACACTAACAAACTTACTCTCATGGGATGGATATCACCGTAGGGAGGTTTGCCTTCAGCCATTTCTAAAGCTGTAATACCTGAAACACATAAAACATTATGGATGTTAAGAATCAATATACAATATACTGCAATACAGCATGATTTTAGCTCAATCATTCAATGTATCCATGATTGTACTTACTGGGTAGTAAGATTAGAGCCAGACTCAATGAGACCTAGGTTTAAATGTCTATCAGATCAAGGTAAGAAAAGTACAACTGTGACAATATTTACTGGACAATGTGGACATGTTTACAGAAAGCCTGATATGATATTAATTCTTGGAAAAAAGTGTCGCTATATATCAGAAATATTTGTGGGTGATCTGGCAGCACAGTGGTAGTACATTCGCTGTTTACTTTGCCATCCAAAAAGGTCAGGGGTCACCTGCTTGACCACATGGATTTTCTGTGGTAATTCTGGTTTCCCCCACAAGAAGACTCTTGGCATGCTTACATGCCGGCCAATAAGTGATTAGTATAAGTTGAAATAAACTGTTTCCCTAACCCTTGTTTCCCAATTGTTGTGAAACAAAGTTTGTATTTTTAAATATCATCAAAACACTGTTAGGTACAATTATTTGGTATTATAGCACAGGCAGTATATACCAGACTGTAAATCAAACACAGTGTTAAACTCCTTCAAAATACATATTTTCTAATCACAGAACACAAACTAGAAAAAACCCATTAAGTCTGTCTCCCATTATCTGCAAGGAACATATTATAAAATTGTTATCATTAGACATAATTTGTTTAGTTTTTGCCCCAAACAGCCAAAGTCACATGTACACCATCTTTAAGGGTATAGTATATTGACCAAGGACACAGCTTTATTAACAACAGAATGGACTTCTTCTCAGCTTCTCAAGAAACACAATCCACCAGGAAGCACTGCACTACCCTCTAAGGATCTCCACCTCTGCTTTTGTAGGCTAAAGCTCTACCAACTGAGCTATTGTAGCCCCCAGTAACAACTAGACTCTGATATTTAACACATAACCTTGGCCCATCATGGTAAGGACTACTTGTTTACTAGTTCTGAGATAAAAAAATTAACCTTGACCTTTAATAATACCTTCCCTAATTTTATTTTTCAGAAGAAATATTTAGTAATTTTAAGGTAACAATGACTTAATAACAGTCTTTCAAGTTAATCATATCCAAAGTCCCTTTCACATTAAATTTTTACCTCTGTAAATTTTGTATGTCCTAGCTTCTTTAAATCATCCATAAACTCATGTTCAATCAATAAAATTCATTATCATTTCACAATAATTTTGATATTATATCTCAGATACTGTTCAACTCCATCCTTAAATATTTTGAATGTTTGAAAGCATTTCTTCAACTTTATAATAGATTCTTGACTGGATGATACTCCAAGGTGATGGATCCTTGCACTGTGCTGTAACACTACGAAATTGTCTGTGGACAGTTTTTTCCAACTGCTGGATATCATCATATTGATTTATAAATTAAATTAAACTTGATTTGAGATAACACTTTTCAAATTTTCTCCCATTTTACAACATTCATTCACACAAGTATAATGCAACTTGAAACTCTCACTTCAGACTATCGATTCCACAGAATGTAAAATCCTATATAGCTAACAAAATAAAAGGTTTTAGATCTAACTCGAAAAGCATGGTGTTGAAAAAAGTTCCCATCCCTGTTACTTACCTAAACTCCATATATCAGCTACACAGTCGTACCCTGTTACTTACCTAAACTCCATATATCAGCTACACAGTCGTACCCTGTTACTTACCTAAACTCCATATATCAGCTACACAGTCGTACCCAATCTCCTGTATAACCTCTGGTGCCATCCAATACGGTGTACCTATCACAGTGTTTCTTTTGGCCATTGTGTCCTATAGCAACAAAAAAGTATATAATACTGGTCTAGGAAACGTCGTTAATAATTTTAAAACATTTTCTGAACGACAAATAACAAATCAAGTTTCATCAAGGATAATTGGGGTTTCGTGTAAACTGAATTGTAAAAATAATTGTCGTAGGACAACAGCACACAATTTTTAAGTGAACATCTCAAGTGCTTTAGACTAATTGTTTGACAGCAACAGCAGATATAAAAATTTGAGATGGCCATCTGTCAGCCATATTGTTTTTCTAATCAATCTCAAAATTACAGTATTTCTTTTCTCCTCTCTCCTACGTTTTTGCTCTTAATGAACATTCCTTTGCAGAAATAGTGATGATAATCTTCTTTACCTGCTAATCCAAAATGGCCACCTGGAAGCCATTTTGTTTTTCTGATCAGTTCCTAAATCAAATGGGCACAGGTAGAGACCAAAGGAAGCATATGTATGAAATTTGAGAGATCCATTCAGTACTTCTTAAAAAATATCAATAACAAAAACTGTGTATGGAGATGGACGAACAGAGGGATGAAGGACCACGGACCATGGATGTAGGGCGATTTGAATAGTCCACCATTTGACGATGACGAGCTAGAAATACAAGATGACCACTTGTCGGCCATTTTGTTTCCTGATCAGACCCAAAATCAAACAGGCACAACTAGGGACCAAGGGAAACCTACATATGAAATTTATGAACAATCCACCAGGCATTTCGCAAGAAATAGCAATAACAACAAGGGCTGCCAGAGACGGACGGGTTGTGCTCCCTGTATGGGACAAAATTTAAGTATGAATAAATACAAAAGGCAATAAGAGAGTGTTATGATTCTTGCACACTGCCTGTCTTGTTGTGATCTATCTACCTATGAAAGTTCACGTAGACACCTCTTATAAATTTGTTTTATGCTCTGGACAAAATTTAAGTATGAAAAATATCAAAGGGTAATAACTCCTAAATTATACAAAAGAGACTGATGGTTCTGGTGCACTGCACTTCTCCTTGTTGAGATATATGAACATGTGAAGTTTTATGTTGATACCTCTTACAGTATTTGTGATATGCATTAGATAAAAGTATAATGGACAGACAGAGAAACAGTTAAACAAATAGGCCACTATATGCTCTCCCTTCTGGTAACATAAAAATTGTTTATGGATGGAATGGTGATGACAGACCACTAACATAGTCCAATTTGAATAGCCCACAATTAGATCATGTTGGACTAAAAGTAAGTGGTAGCAAACTGAAAGTGTTAATTTACAGAATTCAGATGCTAGCACCCAACTCAAATCAAATACAAAATGGTTACTATTGGCTACCACTTGGAAATCATTGTTAACTGGGAATAACAGCTCCATTGCCTGTGGGTCAGACAGTTAGTCTGCCAGTTTGGCACAACTTTTCGAGTTCTCACCATTAATTACCCTTGAGCCCAAAGTCTGCCAGTTTGGCACGATATTTTGAGTTTTCACCTTTAATTCCCTTGCCACTCCAATGTCTGCCAGTTTGACTTTTGGGAGTTCTCAACATTAACTGCCCCTCCATTCTGAAGTCTGCCAGTTTGGCAGGACTTTTGGGAGTTCTCAACATTAACTGCCCCTCCATTCTGATGTCTGCCAGTTTGGCATAACTTTCAGAGTTCTCACCGTTAATTGCCTCGTCACTCCGAAGTCTGCCAGTTTGGCATGACTTTTAGAGTACTCACCGTTAATTGCCCCGCCACTCCGAAGTCTGCCAGTTTGGCATGCCCTTCTGTGTTAAGGAGGATGTTTCCAGCTTTGATATCTCTGTGGATTTTCCGCCTTGAGTGAAGATACTCCAAACCTTTCAGTGTATCAAACAAGATGGTGGCTATCTCATCTTCAGATAACTGTAAGACAAATACAGAGAATGACACACAAGATTACACACATACTGATGATGAAATCACAAAATCACAAAACAGTTAATATTCTTTTAACTTAAAACACTTTCTGTTTATACATTGATATCATAGAAGGCAGAAGCAATTTTGATAAATAAATGTATATGTCCAAACAGGCTATAAAATTCAAAATAATTATTGTGTTCTATAAAAAACTAACATACTAGTTCCTTTCAAGACAGGAATGGTTCCTTAGTTAACAAACCTACTTCAGTAAATGTTCTCAGTAAAAATAATTGGAATCAACATGAATTTATTGGGATGAACTGTTCATCACACATGGCACATTTTGTGTAGTAGAAACATATTCATATTGAATGCTGAAAAGCTTTACAATACTTGTTTTTTACAGACAACCGAGTGTTAGAAACCAACGTTATTAATGGTATGCTTTTTGCTTGTTTATGTTACATATTGTTCTAATACCCTGTATTCCATTAAAACTGTTTACATGATCTCAAGGAGTTTGAATTAGCAAGGGTTTACTGTATTTAAATATAATACAGTACATAATGACACAAAATGTCAAAGTCTAGATATTGTCAATAACATTAATTGTTCCTTGTATTATCATAGTATACTATGTACAGTACACGTCAAGTGGCATAAATATGAAATTTCATGACACCCAAAGTAATTTTCAGTTTTTGAAGTGACATAAGATTCACCCCACAAACTTAATTGCCCACTTCTACCAGAGACCTAATGATAACACTGTCTCCCAGATGGTTGTACAGTGTGTATGTTCAGTGAGGAAACCTTTTGTAGCTTGCCATATTATCATAGGAACTGGACGTTCACACTTGTCTGACTTCTGTGCATTGCTAATGAGAAAATATTATGAATACATCAACACAGTGTCAAGGTATGGGGATGACTAACATATGTTAAATGGTCAGATGATGTATGAAAATATCAGTTTTGAATCTTATATCAATTGAAAGTGTCAGAAGAAAACATAATTTCGTTTTTTCATAAGCAACTTATAGCAGATCCAATTTCAAAAGATGTCCCATGTCTTTTGGGATATGTGTGTTAATTACCATATTTCCCAGGTTATAAGCCACACCAGTATATAAGCCGCAGAGCCTATATTTACCATTTTCAAAATTTGATCCTCATATATACCACACTGGAATATAAGTTGCACCTTTACTTCATTCTAGCAACATATCATGCATCTAGACCTTTTAGTTTATGAGTAGAAATTGATTAAATGTTTGAACAAATTTGACCCCAGTGACCTTGAATGTAGGTCAAGGTCATTTCTTCTGGCAAATTTTGTCAAGCTTCATCAAAGGAACATACCACACAAATATCTTTGGACAATTTTAGAGAATTTACAAGGCAAGAAATTTATGACAGGCGCCATGTTGTCGCAGTATAATGACAGATAATAAAATCACCAACCAGCAGGCTCTTATGTTATGGGAGTATACAGTCTCATACTAGTGTACTGGTATGCTTCCCAATTTTTGTTTTATCCTGCCCAATTTTTTTTGCATGCACATATAAGACACACAGGTATATAAGCCAAACACCTAACTCGTGAGGAAGAAAGGTGTGGCTTATAATCAAAAAAATAGATCTTCCACCCTTAGAAAATCAAAGAACATAATTTTTGAAAATATGTTTAAACTTCCATTTTAGGAAGTAACAACCCTTGTTATTATAATACATTTTAAGAAATTCCTGACAAGTCCCTTTGGTTATGTTGTATATCAGAAGATGCAGGCCTATCACCAGTTAAATGATTGACCCCGACGTTAAGAATACTGTTTTGTTGTATATTGGTAGATACAAAGCTACAAACAGCTACTCCTAACCTTACCGTTTTATTGCGAAGTCTCATTATGTCAGATACAGAGCCAGCTCCACAGTACTCCATCACAATCTGTAGAGAAAATGTAGGAAACTTCAAAGCATTCAGGGTGAAAGCATTATTTGGTTTAGAGTGCAATATTTAACACTCTTGTTCACACCAGTAAACAGGCAGTGAGTATACATTCATGTAATACTGGTGTTCCTTTTTTCACAGAAATAAATTGAAATTCAAATTGATATCATATAAAGTTTCACTTACTTAAAATGGCCCAAACATGGTGCTTTTGGCAAATTAATGTAGAAACAATAAGTTCAACCATAGCCGCTAAATGATTTTACCACTAATTAAAAAAATTGGTATGTTTACAGTATTCAAATAAAGTCTTCTGGGTACAATTCCTGAAATCTAAAGACATTATTTTTTAATGTTCTTCGAAACATGTTGAAATCAATCTATTTGTTCACATATAATTTAAATTCAAATTAAAATGCATTCATAATATTCCTCTTTCTGGCCCTTCAATACAGCAAGAAAATCAATACTTACTATAATATTCAATTAAAACAACTGTTCTGTAATAGTTACCCATAGATCTGTTTTTGTAGTAATTGTTACCCATAGATCTGTTTTTGTAGTAATTGTTACCCATTGATCTGTTTTTGTAGTAATTGTTACCCATAGATCTGTTTTTGTAGTAAATGTTACCCATTGATCTGTTTTTGTAGTAATTGTTACCCATAGATCTGTTTTTGTAGTAAATGTTACCCATTGATCTGTTTTTGTAGTAATTGTTATCCATAGATCTGCTTTTGTAGTAATTGTTACCCATAGATCTGTTTTTGTAGTAATTGTTATCCATAGATCTGCTTTTGTAGTAATTGTTACCCATAGATTTTTTTTACAGTAATTGTTACCCATATATCTGTTTTTGTAGTATATCTTACCCATATCTCTGTTTCGTAGCGCTTGATACCCATAAATACGTTTTTGTAGAGCTTGTTATCCATAGATCTGATTTGTAGTATTTGTCACCCATAGATCTGTTTTTGTAATAGTTACCCATAGATCTGTTTTGTAGTACTTACCCATAGATCTGTGTTTTTGAAGTAGCTGCCATAGTATTTGACAATGAAAGTACTGTCACACTGCTGCATAATGGAGATTTCCTTAATGATCTCCTGTAAGTCGGTATCCACTGGGACCTGTTTAATGGCCAGGACCTGGCCCGACTCCTTGTGGAGTGCCTTGTATACACTGCCATAGGACCTGGGTGTGACATATAACAATCATTACTGCCAGATAGCATAAAAATCTGTAGGGATGATTGGTTTTTTTTTCAAAAGAATACTGATACTGTTTTCTAATGTCATTAATGACAGTTTAATGATCTATTATTAAAGACAAATCCCAAGTTGATAGCAGATTTGCTTTGCAACTAATAAAGGTTAAAAAAGAACCTATTTTAAGAGAAGTTTTAATTCAGTCAATTTCTTTATCTTTTTCTGTTGTTTTAGCAACATTAATTCAACAAAAACAGTCAACCATTCTTGAATCAAATATGCACTATACATACATGTGTATGTGTCTAAACATGGCAATACATTGTATTAGGATGATATTTGTAAATAAGTTATACACTGAATGATGCAAACAAAAGAAAACCAGAGAAGCATGTTTTGGGTTGAGGAAAAAACCATTTCCAAAAAAGCAGACAACTAAAAATGCCACTACAAGATGGTGCAATGGGATTCCTGAAACTAACAGCCTTTTCTACCTCCAGCCACTGAAGAGGGGTTGAGATAGGGGAATTAACTCCCACTCTTGAATGGAAGAGGGCACTTACAGTAATTCATTTTTCTACTCTTGGACAAAGAATAGCACACAAGCCTTAAGGCTCCTATATAATGTATCTACTTAAGTATGGACCCTGATAACTCTTACCCCTCGCCCAACTTGCCCAACACGTCGAACACCTCCTCAGGGGGTCGGGTGAGGTCATCCTCTTGTAATTTCTTTAGGGGGTCACTACGGAACACAAAAGGACAAGCCAAACTAAAAAGGGAAGCAAGTGAAGCACAAGGCAAGCAGCACACAGCCAGGCTTGTATCAATGGTGGACAATAGTCATCACTAAATCACAGTCAAGGCGTTGTCATCTACAGCCGCACAATCTTCACAATACAAATATGACAGTCAGCTTTACTTCTGACCAGATCACTAAATTATGTTTTCATTTATCTCCAGTTGTCAGTCAATACTGATATCAGAATTAATAATAATTTAATTATTGCTATTGTTAAGAAATGACGGATGACTTTTAGATGCCACAACCTTGACTGTTAGTGATGTCATAGAGTGTGCCTTCTCTTCTGTCTGGCCTATAGAATTCTACAGCACAACCTTCTGCTGGTACCTGTTACACACAGCCATAATAGTTCACATAACATGAATTAAGCAACTTCTGAAAACTCAAAGCAGCACCAGTCTGAACAATGAAATAACAGTTTAGTCTTTTATGCAATTGTGAATGTGAGATGGAAAGTCAATCTGATTTTCACTTTAATTTTTTTAGATATGTTGTAATGTTTATAATTAAAATATGACTGATACAGTTACATATTCAATCCTTCTGAAAATAAAACCTGGTTTGTGCTGCTTTATCAGGAAAACACATGTTCATGTGACATTATAGCTGTATCTAAACAAGACTGAATTGATTCTGGAAGGAAAATGCACAATGCTATTTTGGGCAAGATCACAAATACATAATCACCATTAAATTCAGCTTGCATTAGTAATTGTGGATATGACATAACACATACCATGCATAAGCGCAATGATATCCAATGAAATAAAGGATGGGTGGATAATTTATCATACTGGATATGATAAGTATCACATTTCTTAAAAGGTATTTAAGTAGGGGCACAGGCAGATTTCAATTAATAATACACATACAGGTTTTTGACATAATGTTGATTTAAGAATGAGGGTCTAGAAAATTGTACTGAAAAAAGCGGTGGGTGGTGTAAGTTTGTGATTTGAATATACTGTCATCTTGTTGTTATTATGCCATGTTTCCATCATTATAAACATTTATTTTATTGTACACTAGTGATGTCATATCCACAAACACTGTACATATATGTACTCTGTATACAAACAACATCATATCCACATGCTAACAACATCAATAGTTATGTAATATGTTCTGAGGTTAAAGGTCAAGGTCAAAACTCTTAAACAAAGATAATTTCTGTCAACTGAAACCTTAATTTCTATTATTTTCATTGAAGAAAGAAAATAAAAAATCTTATATTGATACCATCTGAAACGGCTGTTTTGCAGTCAACAGATGTACAATGGAATTTCTGTATCAGATAAATACTGTTTTAAAATGGGGACGCTTTTGCATAACCAGCTTGAAACAAGCTATGATGATTCCAGACTTGTTCATCAATTCATCATAAATGAATGCACCTGCACTGGATGTTGGAAATGTTTACATGTTAAGTTCAAACTGCAAATTAAAGAGCCTATATTTTCTGTCACACATGAAGAAATAAACCAATAATAAAACTTCTTCCATTTTCACCTGTACTTAATTAGTAGCGAAACATATCTGTAAATATGTGCACTGTCCCTGCTTTATACACAAAATCTGAAAACTAATGATATTCAGCTAATTAATTTCCAACAGGTATGGCTTGTTGTCCCCTCAAATTGCATGTGCCAAATATTCTGCAGTCCAGCCTCAGTGGCGACCTGTGCCTGCTTGTAGGTTCAGTTGGTCCAACTATTTCAACCCTTTTCACCAAAGTGAACACAGTGTCCCACAATTTATTTTTCACCCCCAGTGAGGAAACATTCTTGCTGTTCAGCTTACAATTGATCTCACCTGTTATTCGCTCAACACTTACTTTTGACTAAAGTAATGAGTTACGGAAATTCCTTTTATCTTAATGAAAAAAGAAAGTAAAAAAGCATATAGATATGATTCATTTCTAACTATATAGTTTGTTCTTTTTAAAAACAAACTAATCAAAACAAAAGAATGCAGTAGTATTAATTTTGATTTACATTTTCATATGTTTATAGCCTGATGATTCTTGCTGGAATTTCTTGGTCTATTGTTTTAGTAGTCAGCCAGTGTCATTTTACTGACAAACGCTTCTTACAAACACCATTGATACATATTTGTACTTGATAACATTGATCATTATACCTGTCATTCCATTTATGCTGATTAATTAATATAAGTCAGTGATCAATCAGCGACTTATTTTCATAAATATATTGCTAAATACCATGGGTCTCAAAATATAAAATTCAAGTATTTTCAAGAATTCTATGAGCCCCATTAAAATTCTATGAGTACAGGACTCAGATGTAAATCTTATAACTGATAAGTAGCTATATGCTAAAATAAATCTCTACTTTAATCCTTCTTAGCAAAAAGTAATATTATTACATATACGAATAACAAAAAAACTCAAGATGCAAAATCTTCACTGCTAAAACAGTATTTTGTATAATACCACATACATACTATCTTTATCAACTACACACGGGATGAACACAACATACTGGCATGCAAGTTATACAGAAAAGATGCAAGATGAAGGCAAGTGTCATATTAACATATGTACATAACAGGTATTTTGGTCTATATATACATTGTACCTCCAGGTCAAACAAACAGTTACTCTGTCAGTATTATTCTAAATATTTTTGTTTTGTTTTTGCAGTACAACAAAATTTTAAGAAATGGGAAACTTACATGATTTAAGTTACATTTAAACAAATTCTTTCATGAAAAAGAATGTTGAATACTATTAGACTTCTGATTGTTTGACCATCTGGTAATATAAAAAATGAACAACAAAGATAACAAATGCAAGCTGAAATGTGATTGCACAATTGCAACCTATACAGGAAGGGCAGAGCCAACAGCAGGCACAAGACTGCGAGTAACCATAGCAACAGGTGCCTGTCAAATCTTACCCTCGTCCTATTTTACAAATAATATCAAACACTTCGTCAGGTGGTCGCGCCAAACTTTCATCACTTAATTTTGTTAACTCACTGCGCATGAAAAATAAAATATATCATTAATAAATATATTCTATGCATTAAAATGTCTTTATAAAAGATAAAGTTAGCATATAGCTAATTGTTTAATGTAAAAAAGTTTTAAAATGAAGACCTGTAGATATACATATACATTAACTTAATATTTCTTACCATCGTACTTGACCTTTAATTCGGAGGAAATCATGATCAGTTGAAAACTTGACACCAATGACTGATAATACCTAACAAACTGATTACATGTCTGGCATATATTTGATATAAATTTCAGAATGCAAGGTTTCTTTGTAGCATATAAGTATACCATAAGAAACCAAATATTATTTGTTATCAAGCACATGTATACATGTATGAATATATCCCTGGTAGTGCTTGATAAAGTGTACAGTGTACTGTGTTGAGTTCAACAGTGACAATTCTTTACCAGCAATACATATACAGTTTTTAAAAACAACTGGATATTGAAGGACTTGAAATTCTGCTCCCATGCCGATTACTTTTTAGACCTTATTCTAGATCTCTTAGACTTCATGGTGATTTGTGGATTTTAATGATGATACTAGCTCTGCAAAGCTAAGAGTGAACAAAGAAATATGAAAAAGTAATCATCTTATAATCACGGATTGAAAGTTTCAGGAATATCTATCATGGTGAAATGAATATCTTTATAGGAAACATTGATTTGATGGAAGTAAATTGAGTTTTTACATAACTTAATTGTAAGACTTTTAATTTCAGATATATAAGACTATTAAATGTATAAAAATAGTAAAATCCAGAAATAAATGAGTTTTATGAATTTAACCTTGATTTGTATTAAAGGTTTTCTGCAAGTATTTCTAACTAGTTACTTAATGCACTTTATGACCTTTTTATGACTTACCTGTGCATCAATGTGTCCGAGTTGTGGTGATTTTTATCTATAGAGTTGAGAAGACACATTTGAGAGAGATGTAACGCGTCAACTCAACTCTTTGGACTAAAGTCTACCTGATAAATATTCACCACTATATATCGGTATACATGTATCTAGTAATTCTGCTTCGATGTTCCCCCGACCGGATGTCCATCCAAATGATTCCGTGTTTTACAAAAGAATTTAATTAATTAATTGTGTCTCGTTGGAAGCAAGTGAACCTTGTTTGTCCTTTAAGAAATCAATGTGAACTTATATCAAATATAGATATAAATATGAGGTTAACAGGTTAACAATATCATCTTCGATGCTGCAATGCACTCTCTGTACATGCATCTTAAAATAACCCTCAAAATTTACGCTCAACTGATACATAATTGAAAAAAGATTCATCGTCAGTAAGAATTACAAACCTTTGACTAGTCATTTTCTGTATTATATACCGAGTTCTGTAAGTACTTCTTCATGGAAAATCAAACAAATGAACAAATAAATATCAATAACGTTGTTTTTCTTCTTCCGGAAACGGGAGAACCTTCAAGATCATGATCACACGAGTGTTTGAAATTCCGTGTCGGTCCTTGGTAGAATGAAGCGTTTTACTTCACCGATGTACAAGGTCACATTGAAGTCATGTGATTTCAAGTAAAAAACATTTTGTTCAAAATGGCAGCCGTAGCACAGAAGTTAACCCCTATTCCGAACCTGGAACGAATTTCAGAGCGTGTCATACGAATTCTAGGATGTAACTCTAGACCAATGACTCTACAAGGAACGAATACATATCTTGTCGGTACGGGGTCAAAGTAAGTCTCTCAAAATAAGACGAAAACACAAGAATACTATCCGCTGACGATCAAAATTGCATTAATGAAATGGGTACTGCACGGGACAACTTTCTATATCACATGGACAAGGGATCATAACATGTTTACAAAAGCAGAGTAACCTTGACCTTTCATAAAAACGGGAATCATATATCACTATTGAACATTGTTTACAAAACATGCATCATGTTCTATAGCTAATAGGATAAATTGTTTTCAATAAATACTGATCATACTAGTTTTCTCTTTGGTCGTTATATAGGAATTAATGCAGGATGGATATATGATATTATACTGAGGAGAATGACATACCATTGTCTGTCAACTTTTAATATATACCTGGTATTGTAACTATTGAACAACCAAGCAAACTTTTATCAAATATAGTCTGAATCCTTCTTGGGTGAAGGGGAATTAATTTTGTAAAAATAGTGGGTTTGAACCCCTCCCCACTCCTCCAGGGCCTTTGGGGCGTGTGGAGTGGGGCCCAACAGGGAAATCAATCATTATCTTTAGAATGTATCTTGTTCTTTAGGAATTGCAGGATATTGTCCAAATTTGATCTGAAGCATGTTTGGGTGAAGGGAACTCAGTTTTGTATAAACTTTGTTTAAACAGGGACTCTCTGCCTCCTGAGGCCAAGTGGGTGGGGACTAATAGGAAAAATCTATCAATTTCTTTAAAATCTACCTTGTTGATATAGTTGACATACCAACCTGATAGTCATATAAACTCTAACTGGGGATCAACAGAGAAAGAGTGTTATGATATAAGAATTTACTCATTGGTCTCGCATCATTGAATGACTGAGCTTTGATGTGGAAATATTTGAAATTCTCAACCTACAGGCATGTATAATATTGCTAGGCTTTAAGAACCAGGTAATAAAGGATAAATGAGAAAAAAATGCACGGTTTATGGATGTCAACATCTTTTTGACAAAGCTAAAGCTTCTTCTGGTGCTTCATGAAGGTGAATCCTTGATCCTTGGAATCTTAATATGTTCATGATATGTTTTTTCTTTACAGGCGAATTTTGATTGATACAGGAGATCCTGGAGTTCCCGATTATATAAAAAATCTGAAGAAAGCTTTGAAAGATTTCCAGACTTCCATTCAAGAGATTGTTATAACACATCACCATGTTGATCATGTTGGAGGTGTCCAGGACGTGTGTTGCAATCTGTTACAATGTAATGTATAGAGGATATTTAAAAATGTCTTCAGTTATAACTAATATATATTACAAGTGTGTCCTATATTTTGGAATCTTTCAGAAGTGCGCTGCACCAGTAAAGACAATATTAGAAATATGAGAGAAATATATTTTTTATTACTAGAGACACTAATAAATATTCCATTTACTACATTTTTCACATGCAAAATATCCAAATTACTAGCATATTTACAACGTATTTAAAAGGAGAAAGCTGAATAGGCTTTTCTATATATTATAAATACACAGTATGCGACGAGACAAAATTTGCTACAAAACATTCAGAGAGTTTAACTTTTGATAAGTTACTATGTGGCTGAAAATATGGTGGCAACCAACAGCTGTCACTATGAATGACATTTGGTTGATGTTTGGTTGGGGATTGGGTTTGATGTCCAATAAAGTAATTTGTGTTGCATTGTTTGCTGACTTTCATGGAAATGAAAGTTTACGATGGTATTCAATGTCATGCTACTAGTATACAATGCCATAAGATTTCTGATTTTGTGAATTTTTTGTACCAGGCATTATGATTTGTCAATTTTATAAGGTAATTTGTGTTCTCTCATTTTTCATTAATGCATGTCTGCAAAAGTGTTATTTTTCACTAGTGAAAAATAACTTTTATCAATCTATATATATCATAGGCAGAAATGTAATGAAGCAGTTTTCTTCTTTTGTTGTTGGAGTGGTGTGGTCCTTGTTCACAAAAGTTATATATTTTTATTAAATATGGTAAGTCAGTGGAGAGTAAACCATTTTATAATGTCCAGATACATAATTTCAAAAGATAATAATCCACATAGTTGCCTTTAATAAAAAAAAAATTCATGTCTCACAAGTATCTGTTTATGTTCATGGTAAAATTATACAAAGTTTAAGATTGATGATGATGATGATGATGATGATGATGATGATGATGATGATGATGATGATGATGATGATTTATTGTGGTGGGGACAATGATTGATTAAAATGATGATTGATTTTCTTATAAAATTGTGCAAAGATTGATATTTTAAAACATTATGTTTCATGTGAACATATTACAGAAATCTTTTCCTTTTTATTACTCTCTTATTTCTAATTCATATGTACTAAACATTTCTACAATAACTAAGATCCTTTTTGTGAAACTTCAGAAAAATGTTGTTGTTCCAGGATATCAGGTATATTAATCCCATGATGTACAGAAGTATTTCATGAATACATTGTCCCGAGCCATCATTTCAAAAAAGATTTATGGAAAATATATTAGCATTGAAAGCTTGTAGAATGCCATGGTCGTTTTGATATGTATCAAGTTTAAAACATTAACTAGTGTTAAATATTACGGGTTATTTACTGTTTTAATTTGAAAACTAATCATGATTCTACAGCTGTTTATTTCTTCATAGTTGAAATATTGAATTACCTTCAAATGTTAATTGTTGTAACTTATCAGAAATATTATTCTGTGTACATTTAAAATTTTCTGTTTCAGCTTCAGATCTGAATGTTTCTAAATTTTGTCGTCCCGAAGGAAATAAAGAATATGATATTGGTTTCCCCTATAACTTTGTGGATGACAATACAGTTTTTAAAACAGACGGTGCTACATTGAGGTAATTGTGAAAAAATATTTTCTAAAGGCCTCTGTACAACAAAACCATTGATATTGTTCCCAGCTGGTTGTTATAAACGAAGCCAGATGCGATTATGAAACACTGTATCCCTAGTTGCAGTAACATTCTGAAGAGGGACGTTAAAACTGTAATGTGTAAGACATGTGCTAATTGCATGCACACTTTGTAAAACACTTGTGCCTTCATTGTGGTAATGCTTTGACAGTTTTGGTTCACTAGTTATGGCCAATGTTAAATTTGTTCAAATGTAGGTCACGATCAAAGTCACATGGTAAAAAATAAATATTAGTACCACTGGAAAGTTCTTGTCACAAGAAACAAACAAGCCAAATATGAAAACCCTACCTCTTACAGTCCAGTAGTTACGGGCAAGTTTAAAGTTGACTACAAACAGATCTCTTGACCCAGGAGCTTAAAAACTATTCACATAGACTATTGTAAGGTGATTTCACACAGGTATTGTTTTCTGATGGTATGATGACATGGTATATGTAATACTTACGATATATGGTTAGAGATAATGTTCTTGTTTCACATGGACTTGGAGTGACTGAGGAATGGGTTCTATAAAGGGAAATCGGGTTCATTCTTCTTATTAAGGAAACTCTACATCAGAGCGTGTATCCTACTTATTTCATATTTTGTTTCAAAATTAGGGCAATATTTACACCTGGTCATTCAGATGATCATATGGTTTTGTTCCTGGAGGAGGAAAATGCTGTCTTCTCAGGCGATACCATCTTGGGGGAGACAACTGCTGTAAGTATACAAGTTTATAATTAGAAGATAAATGTAGTAAGGACATGTTTACCATGAAAGGTAGACAACTGATTGATGTAAACCATTTTAGGGGAGACAACTGTAGTAAGTAATACAATTTTAGGGGAGACAACTGTATAAAATATACCATATTATATTAGGGGAGATAATTTCATTAAGGTTTGAATTGGATACCTAAAGGGTATTTCTGCATTTATGAATATGTTCTGCCTTGCTGTTAGTGATCATCTTGATTTAGATGGAACTTTGTTGTGTTGTAATTGATGTGACTAGAATTAACAATATTAGAGACCTGAATTAGATTGCCATTACAACATTTATTATTTCTTTATCCTTGATTGCATTACACTGAACTAGATCATACTAACTTCATATGAAGCAGTATTATTGATTTGATTTTAATTGGTGTTTTATCACAAAGCCAATGTATCAGTGTATTTGGGCTAAAATACTTCTCTTTTAGATGTTTAATGATCTTCACACCTACATGGCCTCACTGAACCGTATACTTCAACTCAACCCCTCAGTGATTTACCCTAGTCATGGACCTGTCATCCCCAACCCCACGGAAAAAGTCACAAACTACATAAACCATCGCCTCGCCCGAGAGCGACAGATAGAGGAACAACTTGGAGAAGACCCAAATACATGGCTAACCTCCAGAGAACTGGTAGAAAGAATATATGTGGTGAGGATGAAAAAGAGTTACAGTATGTTTTTATTGCATGGGGCTGTCGGGAATCTGAGATAATGGACAGTGCTGCACAGTTGCAGATCTTTAGTGAGGAAGCCACCAGCTACATGGAGGCCCAATCACAAAAGGACTTTGAGAGTTCATGGGTTAATAAACACACATGAATTAATTTCATCATTCACTTCAACAGGCAAATCAGTTGTGTGTTGTAGTGTACATGACCTATGTGGTGTAGTGTACATGATCTGTGTGGTGTTGTGTACATGACCTGTGTGGTGTTGTGTACATCACCTGTGTGGTGTTGTGTACATGACCTGTGTGGTGTAGTGTACATGACCTGTGTGGTGTAGTGTACATGACCTGTGTGGAGTAGTGTACATGACCTGTGTGGTGTAGTGTACATGACCTGTGTGGTGTAGTGTACATGACCTGTGTGGTGTAGTGTACATGACCTGTGTGGTGTAGTGTACATGACCTGTGTGGTGTAGTGTACATGACCTGTGTGGTGTAGTGTACATGACCTGTGTGGTGTTATGTACATGACCTGTGTGGTGTAGTGTACATGACCTGTGTGGTGTAGTGTACATGACCTGTGTGGTGTAGTGTACATGACCTGTGTGGTGTAGTGTACATGACCTGTGTGGTGTAGTGTACATGACCTGTGTGGTGTAGTGTACATGACCTGTGTTGTGTTATGTACATGACCTGTGTGGTGTAGTGTACATGACCTGTGTGGTGTAGTGTACATGACCTGTGTGGTGTAGTGTACATGACCTTTGTGGTGTAGTGTAAATCACCTGTGTGTTGTTGCGTACATGACCTGTGTGGTGTTATGTACCTGACCTGTGTGGTGTTATGTACCTGACCTGTGTGGTGTAGTGTACATGACCTGTGTGGTGTAGTGTACATGATCTGTGTGGTGTAGCGTACATGACCTGTGTGGTGTAGTGTACATGACCTGCGTGGTGTAGTGTACATGATCTGTGTGGTGTAGTGTACATGACCTGTGTGGTGTAATGTACATGATCTGTGTGGTGTGGTGTACATGATCTGTGTGGTGTGGTGTACATGATCTGTGTGGTGTAGTGTACATGACCTGTGTGGTGTAGTGTACATGACCTGTGTGGTGTAGTGTACATCACCAGTGTGGTGTAGTGTACATCACCAGTGTGGTGTAGTGTACATCGCCAGTGTGGTGTAGTGTACATTGCCAGTGTGGTGTAGTGTACATCGCCAGTGTGGTGTAGTGTACATGACCTGTGTGGTGTAGTGTACATCACCAGTGTGGTATAGTGTACATTACCAGTGTGGTGTAGTGTACACTAGTGAGGACAGGAAATGCACCTGTACAGATATTTATATGGACATATTATTACTTGATGTATTGATTTATTTCAGGGTCTTGCTGATGGGTTAAAAAATGCTGCCAACACAAATGTTTGTCAACATCTCCAAAAATTAGTCAAGGATGGAAAAGTTGGTAAGATAATATTCTTTATAGATTTCTTAATGTTTCCAGTAAGACAGAAATATTACTGTCATACTACACTACAAGGGTATCATGGCTTATCTGATAATTCAACTACCTATTATCCAGGGAATTCACAATTGTTACATCCTGGGTACATGTCACTAGTGTGATATACACTGGAGGGTTTTTCCTTGACTGTGCCAGGCAGAAGATGATCATATTTATTGATAACGATGTCGTCAGGGATCGAAAATAGTGCAACAGAATAACTGCCTCCATTTGACTTTGCCCTCCACATTTTGATGTGAACACTTGTCAAGATGTGAAACTTTTCTGAGTTATATGAATAAATGTGTCGTAAGTTTTTTTTTTTTATTTCATATGATATTTACTGAAACTTGACTCCAAGTTTTGATTTTTTGCTCATGATCACCAAGGTTTTCTAAAATAAAAACAGCTAAGACTTGCTTAATAAAATCTGATATGAAATTTTCCTTATTGTCCATCATCAGTCGTCATGCTCACTGCACCATCAGCTGTTTGTTTTAAAGGAAAAGTTTACGGACGACGCGTAAACTTTTCCTTTAAAACACTACTTCTGCTTAATGTCTGGGCAGATTTCAACCAAATTTGGTCTGAAACATTATTTGGGGCTGGGGATTTTTTCTCAAATTCAGAAATTTAATTTGAACCCAAGGGATCTTGAGATGGGGCCAAAATGGTAGTTAGACAATACTTCACTTCAGATAGCTACTTTTCCTTAATGTTTGAAACTATTTCATTAAAATTTTGTCTGTAACATCAGTAGTGGTAGGCAAATAATTGCTAAATTCAGAAATTTTATTTGACCCTTAGGGACTTTGGGCTTTTCCTCAAAAGGGAAATGAGACAATGTTTTGCTTCAAACCACTACTCATTCTTAATGCCTGGGTAGATTTTAACCAGATTTGGTGTGAAACATTATTGTAGGTGGGTTATGATTTCTTAGATGAAGAAACTTGATTTGACCCCGAGGGATCTGGGATGGGGCCCCGAAAGGCTAAGTTAGACAAGATTTTGCTTCAAAATGCTACTCCTTCTTAATGGATTTCAACTAAAATTTGTCTAAAACATCATGGGGAGAGGGGAATCATTTGTTAAATTCAGAAAGTTGATTTGAGCCCTAGTTAAAAGGAATGACCTTGATGGGCTTGAAATGTCAAAGGGATCAAATATGTTGAAATCTTTAAATAACTTCTTCTCAAAAGCCAAAAGGCCACAGATGATGATATTAGGCTGGTGGCTTGCTTGGATGAAGGGCTACAAACATTGTTATTACGTCTTGAGTAATGGCAATTGTTTAGTGCATGTATAACAAATATGATTTCAAGTATGCAGAAAATGTCTTGATGAACAATGTCTTCTGTGTAAGCTGCAGAGTTAAGCATTTGATTTTAGGTGTATCTTGCCTCTTTCATCTCTTTCATATATAGGTCCTTATAGTCAAATGTCCGTTAAGACCAAAGGGTATCATGTTATTGATTTGTTTGTAATTTTGTTCTCTCTGTTAAACTGTGTATACACATGCTTAAGTTACACAAACAGAATTCTGTTGATAACTATTGTGTCATTGAAACTGTTCCGTGTGCAAGGCTCACCATTAGAAATTGCTGTTTTGGGCAACACAAGGGAATAACCATTGAAATTGTTATTCATATTTAAAAATAAGTGAAATATGTGAACCATATGTATCATATATTGATTGAAATTGATGACTTATTTGACCTATGACCTTTGATGACCTTTATATTAACCTGCAGCATAATTTGTACATTGTAGTAAGATATGCAAATAAAGAAATATTATGGACTTATTTGACCTCTGACCTATATATACACCTTAGATGTAACTATTTATCAGGTCATCTGAGACAAAGTCTCATGGTGACCAGTTGCAATCACCTTCTTTCACTGGCAGGCATTATGCGTCTGTAAACTATTTAACATTTTTGACTTCTTCTCAAAAACCTCTGATCCAATTTCAAAGAAATTTAAGAGAAATATTTGGCCAAAGATAAATCAAAACTGTGAATTATACAGTACCCACCGTACAGGGGTCTGAGGGGTGGGGGCCAAAAGGGGTCAGATCGACTCAGATTTCAAAAATCTTCTCAACACACAGATATGGTTGAATCAAATTCTCTTCATGACTGGAAGCATCTTAAGGTGCTTTACAAAATTTGTGAATTTCATGGCTACAGGGTCTCGCATATCCCCATGGGGAGGGGGTAAATTTTAATATAGTTTATATAGGAAAAATTGATTTTTGAGCATAATTTGATTAATTTCCATTGGAAATATTTCAAACTTGGTTATAATTATGAGTGAAGAATGACTGCTTGATGGTATGCCCATTTTGATCCTGACTGACCCCTAGGCAGGGCCAAAAGGGGACAAATTGACTTAAATTTAAAAAATCGTCTTCCCAACACTCAGATATGGTAGAATCAAATACTCTTCTTGGATGGCAGCATCATAAGATGCTTTACCAAAATTGTGAATTTCATGGCCCCAGGGTTTCACCATTCCTTGTGGGAAGGGGGTAAACCTTTAACCTTTTCATTCAATATATGATTTAAAGGTTACTCTGTTCATATCTGTTTTGCTGTATTTTCAGAATCTATGGAAAAAGATGGAACACAGTTGTGGAAGAAAAAATGTCAAAGCAATATGTGACTTTCTTAACTGCGTGTACAGTGAAGAAATATATTCTACAGTTTAATCTGAAATCAAATGAATGCTGTTTAAATAAATCAATTAATGAAGTCTGTGATATGTAGTGGTATAACTTATGTTATTGTAAAGTTGGAACTTTGTATTTAAAACATTGTTATCCAAGAATAGCTTTAAACATGCCAAGTTGTTAAACAGCATTAACCAGATCATACATGGAGTTAAGTCTGTGTCTCATTGAAGATCTGTTCTCAAAGTTCAAGGGTTCTTCCCTCAGTGTTAAGAGGGAAACACCTCCACCTCTGTTTTTACTGTATCTTGATTTGTATAAACAGTTGCTATTCACTTTTGTGTGTTTATATAGGTATGTGTGTAGGTTGTAGGCGGTAGATACTGCTAGTGGACTTTAAGATGTTTCTTTTTACCATCAATGTTGGTACTTATTATAACTATGTTTTTCTTTAGAAATGTGTTCTTTGTCTAGTTAAGTTTGTAAAAAGCAGAAATTTTCTCAGGGATATGCTTATAATCGATTGGAATCCATTATGCATTTCTTCATAAACACATTTTCCAGCAAAAAATTTTGTAACTGGTTATGGTTTTACTTCAGCCTCCTTATTTCTATATTCTCTGTGGCGATTTGTGTGGGTATGCCATATTTTTATTCTGGGTAGTCGTTAACATAAAGACTATACATTGAAAGATCAATGTGTAGTTGAAGTAAACAGGACTAAATGGTAAGATTTCATAACTGATAAAAAATATTACAGCATTTAAACATAAAAAATAATAATATAAAAAAGGAGCAACACAACACTTATTCATATCATTATTGTTTGGAGAGTGTATACAGAGGTCATTATTTATTGCAATGCCTCCGCTAGGAATCGAACCCGGGACTCCTGGCTTACTAGTCTGACTCTCAACCAATCGAGCTAAAAAGAAGTTCTCTCTAGCCGAGTGGTATATTGCAGCTAGTATTCTACCAGGGTTACATAAAGATACATTCAAATTAATTTATTTCTAAAAATTGGAATTGAAACATGACTGGCAAGTTTTGGCTAACTACATGATTATCATATTGAAATGGTAGATTAAAATGAGGCTCCAAAAGGTCATGAGATGAACTTGGCTATCTCTGATCAAAACAGCGATGGGTGCTAGAAACAAAAGTGTGTGTCCACTAGTGTTAGTTTGAGGCTGATAATCTTTATCAGTTTCTCTCAGAGGGTGATATAATTTTGTGACGAGTCTAATATTAAGTAGTATAATGCTTGCCTAAAAACAAATGTTAACATTGTTAACGAGAGGCGACAGATGGTCACAAAATTATCTATCATAGCAAAATCAACCGATACAAACATTGGTATGATAAACATGTTATATGACTGAGTAGAACTTTGATTGGCTGAAGGTTCTCATTGTTTCCTTGGTAACGTAGCCTGTTGGCATCATATGCTTTGTGATGTCATCAAAGAAAGAGACATAAAGTGAAAATATCACCAATTTTTATTTGTCTTATAAAATGTTGTTACAAATGTTTGCAATAGTATCTAAGTCATATAGACAGAATCATACATTGGTATCAAATTCATGTGAGATTTATGAAATGTGTTACAAAATTTCATTTTACCCCTTCAGAGGCTTGGGGGTGGGGGGTTGGGGGGAAAGAAAAATTCTCAAACTGGTTATATCAACTTGATATTATTGACTGACACTCATGTAAGATCCACACAATTTTTCATTGTTAATGATAATGTTTAGAACCTTTAAGTGAAAATAAATCACTACATTATTGGCTGTTTGGCCAGGTATTGTCACTAGTGTAATGTACCTTGGAGCATTTTTCATTGGCTGCACCGGACTAAAATTTGTTGTGATGTCATATATATGTGGACACAAATATAGTAAAACATTGAAACTGGATCATCAAGATATCTGTTTAAGTTTGTCCTCCACTTTTTTACTTTCAAACCAGTCAAAATGTAACAAAAATATGTTTCTGTTTTTATTTCATATGAGATTTAATGAAACTCTTCTCAAAACTTTTTTTGGCTCACCAAGGCTCCCAAAAATTAAGAAATAAACAAAAAAATATAAGTCTTTTGGCTTAAAATTTCATACGAAATGAAAACTCAACCAAAATCCTGTTCAATTAATGTATGTCACTTATAATGATGAATGATCTGTTTGTTAAAATTTTTCGTCAGCCTAAAGCATGAAGTAATTTTACTTAGTATTAACTTTGAGAATTTAATTTCATCAATACTGAAATAATTTGTGATATAATTGTTGTGTATATACATTAGTCATATAAATTTTAAAGTGAACCTTCTCCACATATAACTGTCAGAGAATTGTTCCATACTTCACTTGTTAGAGCAAAATTTTGCTAAATCTTCCACCTTTGTGTTTTGTGAAAATATTATCCTGAGATTTGAGATAACTCAGTCCATAACACTCAGAAGTGATTGATTATTATTCTCCCACATGATCCTATTGTGAAATAATGGACATTGTTATACTGATATCTCCCCAGTAAACACAGGAACTTCCCTCGTTTTAAACACAGAGAAATCTGTGGTGTGTGGGAGAAAGATGGATTTATATATTAATGTTAAACAGACCTTGTTGATTTTTGTTTGTCATAACATTTATGCAGTTATAAAGATCGTTGAAAGGAACGTAATTGTCATGAAATAAAGATAATTTTATAAATATTGGACTTGTATTTTATTTCTGGTATATTTCATTTATCTACATTTTTTCACTTTCTGTAAATGTTCATACAATCAACAATTACAAATAAATGTGATAATTGAATCCTCCTACTTATGTAAAGGTGCATCCTAATAGCCTCATAAACAAGAGGATATCTTATGAACCCATGAACAGAGTTGGTTCACATTAAAATAATAGCACTACCAAGGTTAAAGGTCAAAGGTCACCCTTGACCACTTTGCAGATAAAAAGATTTATCCAATATATATTCGAAGTCTCTAAACAGATTTAGTTAAGATTCCTACCAAAACCGTAACGCGGTGCTGACGATTAAAGGTCAAAGGTCACCATTGAACACTTTGCTGATAAAATAGCTTGTGCATTTGATTGTAGGGGGGATGTACAGCTATGTGAGTGATTGCTTATTTTGCTTTAGGATGGACGTTTATGATTGTTTGTATTACATGTGTACTTGTACCACAATAAGGATCAGTATTGGTCAAAATAGAGCTCATTTAAAATATAAGAAAAGTCATACATCAATAACTGGAAACAGCATGAGTGAAAAGGGAACAAATGGGTAGTAAAACGTGCTGAAATCATTCAACCAATAGAATCGCTCAATCGTCAATGTCTTTAAAATCGCTACTAGTCATGAACGACTGAGCAGATTTTAACCAGATTTGGTTTTTAAAATCTGTCTTCGTTTGAAGGAATTGCAGGATATACCCCACATTTGATCTGAAGCATGCTCAGGTAAAGGGATATCAGATTTGTATATGCGTGCTTCATATCAGATATGGGCATTCCTCTGCGATTCCTGAAGTACAACATAGATTTTAAAGTAATTGATACATTTCCCCCAATTTGGCCCCGTCCCTCAGGACCCAATCTCAACGTTTATACAGAAATGGCTACTGTTTTTGGATACTACTTCGTCGTTCCTGACTTGCAATGATTTATTGGAAAAATGACAGACGACGAATATCGCGCTATCCCTATAACTAACTTGTTCCTTCGGGCCAGGTGAGTTAATAAGGCGAGGGCTTGTGTAGGTTCCGTTCCCTTTGTACAGAGATCTATGCAATGATATATTAGTATGTAGAAGTTTGTTTACTAAGCTATTTTGTGCAGTTAAATGTAATAAAAATAATGGTTTACCGTTACATTTTATAGACATAAAAGTGGCGAAATATGTACGATATTCAACATGAAACCATTAAATATTCTCTTGACTTAGGTCGTTGGTTACAAAAACAAAAGGATAGAGAATCTTTCCAAATAATGACTAGAACTACACCATACAGCTGTTTCATCCTTCCAGGACTCGTCAGCGATGCTACATCACACAGCTATTTCGTCCATATAAGACTCGTCAGTGGTGCTACATCACACAGCTGTTTCACCCTTCTAGGACTCGTCAGTGATGCTACATCATACAGCTGTTTCATACTTCTAGGACTCGTCAGTGATGCTACATCATACAGCTGTTTCATCCTTCTAGTACTCGTCATTGATGCTACATCATACAGCTGTTTCATCCTTCTATGACTCGTCAGTGATGCTACCACACACAGCTGTTTCGTCCTTCTCGGAACCGTCAGTGATGCTACATCATACAGCTATTTCATCCTTCTAGGACTCGTCAGAGATGCTACATCATACAGCTGTTTCATACTTCTAGGACTCGTCAGTGATGCCACATCATACAGCTGTTTCATTCTAGGACTCGTGAGTGATGCTACATCATACAGCTGTTTCATCCTTCTAGGACTCGTCAGTGATGCTACATTATACAGCCGTTTCATCCTTCTAGGACTCGTCATTGATGCTACATCATACACTTGTTTCATCCTTCTAGGACTCGTCAGGGATACCAAGGACCTAAATAGCCTATATAGTGTAGGTGCACTAGCCCTATATGCCAATAGAAATTTTCTCATTCAGCCAAGTACAAGTGTATTGTCAGAACAGTGAAAAAAAAAAGCAAAAACAAAAACAAAAAACGAAAACGGAGCAGACAGGGTATGTGGATGGTGCCCAGAAAAATACTAAAGACTTATTTTGATATATAAGTTTTGTGATAAGAAGACCAGATGCTTTGTTTTACCATATAAAGCGTTTTCTGACGTAGACTGTAATGTATTAGCCAGCTACAGGTTTTGTTAGTATATAGACTTGATTTGTCTCTGATACTTCAATGACTGATACACTGAACTCCATAGCAGCGCCTCGATCGTCGTAAAATTACCTAGATTTACGAACTTATTTGACAACACTGGTTTCGTTTGGCACGTATCCCCACAATAAAGCTGTTGTCCATTTCCCTACCGGTACAATGTACTTGAACATCGAAGTGATAAGGCTTATAAATGATTGAAGTCTTGGCCATTTCTAATCTACGTGGGGTAAGCAAACCGAACAGCCATGTTTGCGTCAGTGGTGATCGATATTTCTGTGTACTGTACTTATCAGAAAACATTGATATCTAATGTAATTTGTAATTCTACTTTAACCTCGTCAAGTAATGGTCTCTCTGGATAGGAATATTGTCAGCTTTTAAGAAAAAGAAAAGTATTTTCTTATTTTCATTATCTTATAAGTTTCGATATTCCGTCAATTATGATAAACCGTAGCTTAATATTTTCCGGGAATATGTTCATATTTTGTGAATCCTGTGTCAATATCGGTTAGGTTTTAATTTATACATTTATATTATACATACCTTTTAAAAAGTGCACAACACT